GGCCGCGGCCGAAGGAGCAATAGCAGCAGCCGTGGCGGCCACGGGGCGGGGCGCGGCGGTCGGTGACCGCGGCCGGGGCTGCAGGCGGCGGAGCGGCTGGGTAAGGCCGGGCCCCGGGCGGGCGGGGCCGCTCCCTCGGCCAGCTGCCGGGCCTTTGTGTGGGCCCGGGCGGGCGGGAGCGGCGGCGGAGGCCCCGCCCCGGTCGTGGGGACACGCCGGTCGGACCGGGCGCGCGGGGCGGGGCGGGACCCGGCGGCGGGCCTCGGGACAGGCCCAGCAGTCCTGTCGCACCTGCCGGCTGGGACAAAGGCGCGCCACGGCCCGGAAACTCCTCGCGCTCCTCTTTCCCGCTCGTCGCGGGGCAGCTTCAAAGCTGTCAACGTTTTCCTCAGTCCCGTATACCAGTGACAGGTCGGGAAAGTCCTTCATTTCCTCCGCCGCTTAGGGCCTCCTTTTTTTGTTTTTGATTCTTGACATTTCCATGCACTCCTGATGATTTTTTTTCTTTCAGTATTTCCTTTTCTGAGTATTTTTGTCAATAGAACTTGTATTTAGAGTAGAGGCTAGATATTTTAGCTTTTTACTTCAATACCACAAAGAATCGGAATTTTGGAAACTATGTATTTCCTAGTTTTGGGAAGCACAGTTTTGTTATAAGGAAGTCGTCTTAATTTAAAGGGAAGAAAGAGTTGCAGAAATATAGAAATCCTGAAAAACAAATAAGTATACAGTATAGTGGATATATACATTTTTACAAAATTATAGAAGCATGTGTTGGAATAAAACATTTTAATCAATTTACCTTCCAACACACTAGGACGCCTCAGAAATGATTTTAGGTATTATTTTTTTCCCATTTGGTAGTGAGCCTTTCCCCAAATATAATCTGTTAGCAAATTGGACTCAATATGAGCGTAAAGGCTAGCATAATTTTTGCCTTATTATTTATTAACAGATTGCCCATATCTTGGATTTAAAGATCCAAAACAGAAGATTGGAAAGTATTTTTTGAAGAGATGTTCAGATTAACACAATAAAAAATATGTGTATGGATGAATTGAAGGACCTTGCCCTCTTTCTTTGGTTTTGGGAATGTACAAAATACCTCAAAATATTAATATTATACCAAAATTCCCAAGATAAGTAAATTGTGGTATACCTATACGATAGACTCCTATCAAGCCATCAAATGTCATGAGAGGTTGGACTCGGTGGCTCAGCCTGTAATCCCAGCACTTTGGGAGGCTGAGGTGAGTGGATTGCCTGAGTGCGCGGGTTTGAGACCAGCCCGGGCAACTTGGCGAGACCTTGTCTCTAAATTAAAAAAAAAAATTAGCCAAGAGTGGTAGTGTGCACCTGTAGTTCTGGCTATTTGGAAGGCTGAGGCAGAAGGATCGCTGGAGCCCAACAGGTCAACGCTGGCGTGGCCGTGAACTTGCCACTGCACTCCAGCCTGGGCAATGGAATGAGACTCCAACTCAAAAAAAACAAAAAGCAAACAAATGTCATGAGGAATAGTGACTTTGAAGACTTTCTAAGTAAAAACCCAGGCTGCAAAATAATACATGTGGTTTGTTAACACTTTGGATAAAAGAAAAAAAGGTAACTAAGGTATAGATACATAACAAAAGCTCTGAATGTCAATGCTAAGGGTGTTTTTTCTATGGGAACTAAACTAGGATTATAGGTTCTTTTTTTCCTTTCACATCTTCTGTTTTAGAAGATTTTTGTAAGTATGTATTACTAAATATCACTAGAAATACTTGAGAGTCTTAAAAGTTTATAAACTGTCAAAATGTACCATTTGGCTATAATGAGTAAATATTTTTCCAGTTGCACGTTATATTCTTACTTGTCTGCTGTAAATTATCATTGGTTGTCAGACTTTTGGACTTATGGCTGTAATCAAGGCCATTTTAAAACCTGGAATTGAGCTCCAGAATCTGTTTCTTTTCTCTTTCACGGGGAATCGCTACAGAGATGCTTACAGGCCTCTGAAACTATGTAGACTTTTTTTAAAGGTCACACTTAGGTGCACTTTTAATATGTTTGTTAAAAAAAATTAATTGAGCACCTAACCTGTATCAAATACTGTTCTATAAGACAGGGCTACAAAAGTGAATAAGATGCTGTTCCTGTGCCCAAGGAGCATGTGGTCATAGAATTGTACCTTAACATTTCAAAGTAATTTTGTGTACATAGACTTTTTCACTGTCCCAACAATCCAAGGATATAGGTACATTTTGCCATTTTCATTTTAGAGATAAACAGATGTGAGAGGTTGTAACTCAGGCATCAAACAGATAATTAGAGGTAGAAGACCTGGAGTTCATATTACGGTCTATGAGCATAGGTCCTGTTGCTTCTTCCACCTCGCAACAATACTTTTTTTGCCAAATTTCCAAAATATATTCTAAAATATGTCCTTTGAATAAGAAAATACTTGAAAATTATTATTAAGTTGCATCTTAAATTCATGATTCAAGGACTTTTGAACATTGTGTCATCTAAACTATATACATATGCCTGTAACTTACATTTTTTGTCATTTGATTTTAGTGGATTATTTATAAAAGTAATTTTGAACTGCCAATGGTTGAAGGCTTTTTTTTTTTTTTAACCTTGTCAAATTTATATATATAGTCTTTCCAATGCAGGTGGGACTTTTGAAAAGAAGTGTCTTTGAATTTTGGGGGGTGGGAGAGTTTTCCAGACTTTTTGCTCACATGAGCCATTCTTGGTTTGTTCCAGCTTGCCAACATTTGGTGTCACATGTGTGCCTCCCACATGTGTTCACTCTCCATTCCAGCTCTGTGATTGAACTCTGCTCTTATTGACTAGGGGGCAATTGGGCAGGCATGCTTCATTCCTGGAATTGACAGTCATTCCATGTGAGTAAAGGGGAACCTCAGTGAGACATCTTTAAGCATATGAAAGCTTTTGGTTTTAAAAAGGAGGAAATGTCAGGTACTGTTAGTGCCTGAGCCTTTGCAGCAGTTTGTTTGATAAGTGCAAGAGAACTGATATGCCTATTTTCTCCAGTTCTCTTATCTTTCTTTAGCAGTTCTATTTTAATGTTTTCTATCTATTCGAACTCATTTTTACTCCTTCTGACTCTACTGTTTCTCCTCTCTCTTCTTTGTTCTTCTCTTTCAGTTTTGAATATACTAACACTGAATCAGCACTTTTAAAGCTCTGCCTTCTCCCACTGGCTTCACTTGGCCTTCAGACATAATGAGGAGACTGGCTTTTCGAGGCGCTGGTTGTGCTCTGGTAAAGCTGGTAAATTACTGATCATCTACACCTTTTTCCTTTTCTGTCCTTCCTTGCCTTATCCCTTCCACCTTTCTTAAATTTTTGTTATCCTTTCCATAAAGATTCCCACCTTACATTCATCAAATTCACTTGTGTCCTCGTCATAGATTGTTTACAAAGCATTGGTTCTTAATTTTTTATCTTAATGAATTGAGGCCAGTTTATCAGCCTTTTACAAAATGAACAAAAATCAACACAACTTGGTTAATTTTTGACCTAAAACTTTGGAACCTTTTAGCCACTTAAAAGCCAACTTCATGTTATATGCTCTATAACAAACCAAAGCCTAGAGGAAGGAACATCATCATGGTAGATTCTATTTTAAACACCATGTGAACTTTAGTTGGGAGAAAGAGATGTGAGACTTTCTTTTTCCTTAGTTGCTGGTCAGGATTTTTGTTGGTTTGTTTTGCTCCTGCTTTCTGTTCCCTGGCGATCCCCAACTTTGCTCTCCATACTACTGGCAACCAGTGCTCTACTATTCCTAATCATTCAGTTGCTGGTGTCTTAGTTTCCTGAATGTTGATGAGTGAGACTGGGATCTGTTTTTTATTTTAGCATTAGAAAAAGACCTCTGAAATCCCAATATACTTTTTGATTCTGTTGTTAGATTGTATAAGCGTTTTAGGACTATATTGGGTATATACTTTTTATCTATAGCATGTCGTTTCAGTGATTGCTGTACTTGTGTTATAGTCAAATGCATATATTTATAAAGTTGTGTTAAGATTAGTTGCTTAGCTGTCTGTGGTGGCTCACACCTGTAATCCCAGCACTTTGGAAGGCAGAGGCAAGAGGATTGCTTGAGCTCAGGGATTCGAGACCAGCCTGGGCAACATGGCCAGATCTTGTCTCTACAAAAATAAAAAAATTAGCCGGTCATGGTGACATACGCCTGGAGTTACACCTATTTGGAAGACTGAGGTGGAAGGATCACCTGAACCCAGCAGGTCGAAGCTGTGGTAGCCATGAGCATGCCACTACACTCTAGCCTGGGTGACAGAGTGAGAGTCCTACTCAAAAAAAGAAAAGAAAAGAAAAGATTCATTGTTTAGAAGCCAGTTCAAAACTGAGAGCAACTATTGTGTTTCTCAGTGCTGAGCAGGACCTTAAAGTTCACATATGAGATGTTCTTTCAGGTCATCCACTAAGATTTAAAGCTATGATTTCAAAATTTGTGGGGGATAGAATATCTCATGTAACTAAAAAGGAAGTTAGCTTGGATTAACAAGAGTTTCAAAGGACAGTTTCACTATTTCTGTCTAGGTATGACAAATCACATTAGTGTTTTCTAGAGGTGTCTTATGGATCCTACTTTATTGAATGCAGAAAATTCATTTTCAGTGTGTTAATTTTAGGGTACATCTCAAATGCTGGGAGGTTGATTATCCTCTGTCACCTTACCTTTTTGTGCTACTCATTTGTCTTTTTTTTTTGAGTTGGGGTCTCACTCTGTCGCCCAGCCTGGAGTGCAGTGGCCACTCCTGGCTACCGTAGCCTCGACCTGCTGGGCTCTGGCGATC